CCAATATTAGACCAGGATAGCACAAAACAGCAGTTATAACATCAGCAGCACTTGTTCAACATGCAACCTGATATCTGTCGAAGTTAATGCACTGTACTGTTACCAAAGGACATGAACAAGCTAGCTGTAAATAGACAGATTTAATAGGCTCTTTCAAAGCTTTATTCCAAAATTTGCTTTTCAACAGTTTAAAAAAAAAAAAAAAGCAAGTAGTTTGCAAACTAAAACTTGCCCGTGACTACTCTACACGCAGTCCAGCAAATCAGTAGCCCCCACCACTTCGCACCCCTCAGTTCAGCAGAAGGCTGAATGTTGCTGTTCTTTCTAGTGGTAGAACCCATTGCCCAACTCACTCGTGAGTCAGTAACTTGTCTCTGAAGAGCAGGGGCTCTTGACCTCGCTGAACTCAGAACTCCGCATGAAGCGCGAGGACCTGGTGCTCCCGCTTCCGACTCCCAACTTGGCTTCCCAAGACCAATCCCTAAAGCCACATCCTCCTCACCTGCCTGCTTGTAGTTATCCCTGATAGCAGTTGATGAAAATTTATTCAGAGTGCAAGCTGTGTTTCCAGATTTACGTCTACCAAAAATAAAGCTAGTTGATTATTACATAAAAACATGTACACATTGCAAGTATATGCAAACCTTACACAAATTTTATTTTCCAATAAAGTAGCATTTCTTATTTGGACAGAAGATTTTCCAAGTAAAAACAGCCAGTGCAGGGGAGAAACCACAAACAGATTAGGAAACTATTGTTTTGGACTCTCAAACTCAGCTTCCTCTTTTTCCCAAATCAAGCAGGGGATTTAAAAGCAAAAAGCCAAATATTCTAATGTAGAAAACAACCACACAAAATATATAGGTACCACAGAAGTCTGTTCTTGTTTTTAAATAATGCTTTGCCCATGCACACAGTGCTGGTTATTTTCTACAGTTCTGAGAAAGCTGGATGTTAAAGTCATAGATATTCTCTCCCCTGTGCACTTTCACTTTCTCTTCAAGTTGAAACTGCTTTAACAGTGTGCCACGTTGCTGAATTACTCTCGGGGTTTTGTAAAATTTTGTTCTACTTTTTTTTCCACTTGCAAAAGTTGTAATTCACTAGAGAGTGAAGTTTTAATAACATTTTCTATGCTTCTTACAGCAGCACAGAAGGAAGCTGTATAGCCTTTAGGGATTTTTGTTTGGTTGGGTTTTCTTTAATATTATTGGATTATACAATAAATCTGATAAATAAAATGCTATTTTTCTGAGATCCAGCAAAACACTTCCTAGAAGTGCTTCAATACAAGCAGTGACCATTGCAGTGACAGGTGTACACAACTCAGTTTCTTAAGGCAGAGTAGATGATCAAGGTATATATTACAACATTAAAACTCCTGCCAGGGGAAGAGAAGTGACAGCACAAGCAACTGGAGATGAAATTCGTACTTGAAATCTGTTTGACTATGCAGCTTTCACCAGCACTGATGCTTAGACCACAGTAATAGTGCTTGCATTGATGGAAACATGCAAGGAACACAAGAAAAACAGGGATAGATTTGAGACACTGATTAATACTTTAGTGTGCAGGCCCTTTATATGTCTATATGAATAATATTGTTTTGCTGAAATCATTAAAAGTCCTATTTTTCAAGTGCTGAGCACAAACTCTCCAGAGAATTTTTTCTTCTTGATGCCAACTAAGGCTTGGACATAGTGATTCTACAGTTGGAAGATGGAAAAGAACAAAACCTCTGGCACTATTCTTGAGGGAACTAGCATTTCTCCCGGGGCGAGGGGGGGGGGTGCAGAATGCAAAAGGTTTTACAATGAAGCTTACCCCATAACTGGGAAGCTATTTTTCTGAATGAGTTAGATTCAGCTTTTAATAATATCACCTTTCTCCAACTTTGAGGACACACAAACAATGGCAGCTTCAGAGGAACCTGTGGGGCATGGATTTGCTAAGAAGCCATCTGTGAGTCACCAGCATGCTCTTAATGTACATAAACAATAGCAGGTACCTTCTGCCTACCTCTGACAATTTTGATTTAAGTATCCTGCTAGCTGGTGCTATTTTTATTACCTGATAATCAAAGCAGCAACAGGACAGTTAACATAGAGAAGACTCAGGTCCCCAGGGATTCCTCACTCATTGCATAAACCCACTACACTTGAGAACAAAATACTTCCCAACTGAGTAACTGGCACTTTGTTCTTAGTTTGGGTTTTTTGGGGGGTTTTGTTTTTAAATGAGGAAATGACAAAAAACTTAAAGCCAATTTGGGGTCTCTAGACTATTTACTATTCAGAAGTCATACAAAACAATTCAGATATTTTACTTTTGACAATTTCCACAACAGAAAAAATAGTATATAGTGTTAACTGGATGGCTCCAAATTTACAAGCAGGCTTGTAGTTAGAAAAGATTTTAATATGGGAAAAAAAAAACCAACTTGTAAGTATAGGAGGCAGTTATCCTTTGTTCACAATAAAAAGGGTTGATGGCTGGCACAGAGGTTGTAGGCCAGCCATACAAACCCTCTGCAGGAAACAAGTTTGGTGTATAAGCACATAGCTGTTCTTGGTCAGAAGGTGAAATTGGGAATCATCTCAGAAGTTCAAGGGCACAAGGGGAACATCAGAGGATCTGGAGAGCAAACTGCTCTTTTTTTCCCCCTGAAGTATTTGTAAACAGTAAAACCACTAAGAATGTACATAGTGTTTTTTGTTGTTGTTCAGTTCTCCTAAAGCAAGGTTTCTTTTACTGTGCTCCTGTGTCAGCTTTGATGAATATAAGTTATATTGGGGAGTTGCAATATTAGATATTTTTCTCCTTTTTGACCCCAATCTCCACACTCTCAAGAGCACCAACAGAAAGGAAGAAGATAGCAAGTATCAGATAGAGATGAGTATACTCATCTTCCATGTAAAATAGTCAGTGAAACAGATTAAAGAAAGTGTCTATTTATTACTATGCTCCACTAGAAGAAATAGCAATGAAAAAAGTCTTGTCAAAGTTGAAGGACTGACAAGCTGTTCTTTCAAAGCTTCCTAAAAATACCTGTACATTTCTTAAATAACATTTACACAGAAATTAAGCTGTCATATGGGTAAAAACATTCACACACTGCCATACCCAAACCAGCACAGGTATGTTCCCTTTCCTCTTTGGTCACATATCCCCATCTATAATAAGTCAAAAAATCTGATGTTACCTTTGCTAGATACGCATTACTGTAATTGCCTTATCTAGGAAAACCAACTTTTTGAAGATGTACTGTCTACTTCTTGCCTCTTATAATTCCAATCAGATTTTCAGAAAGTCTCAGCATGCTGAACAAGTTATTCTGGATTCAGCACCAAAAGCAAGTAGAGAGCACCTGAAAATCCTTCAACTTTAGCAAAAAGATAACACAAGATTAATATTACAGATGGGGGCACGGGAGAGTTGATTGTAAAGATCCATCTCTTCAGTAAAGTATTTGTACCCCACTTGGAACAAGATGACCAGAATAAAGTAAATATAGGCTGTTTAGCCCAATCAAAGTCAAGGCCATTCTTATATGAAGAGTCTTTAAATAATTTCATTCTTATGCTTTGAAGTCTAATGAGACAGTAAATCTATTAAAGAGGCGTCTCCAAAACAAGCTCAAAGATAGAGGTTGAGCAAAAGAATCATGTCTGA